CAATGTTCAAAGTAGAGATTTTTGTCTTAAATGGAATCTCTTCTAAAAAAGCTTGCTTGCTTGCTTACGTGACTGATGTGCTCTGGCTGTGCTCTAATACGTGACTAAATTTTCACTACTTTCCTACATCTTTCAGGTACTTTTTGCTTTAAACTGTTAGCTCATGTTTCGTAGATCCTATGCCTAACTCAATTGAAATCAGTCAACCATTCCTTACATGCCATTGCCTTATCGTGTTCGCCGCCCAGAGAAATAGTCCGTGTCTCGGACACAGAATTCGGAACCTATTATTGCTCTCGTGGCTCAATGGCGAAGTCGCTTGCCTTTCACCACTGAGGTTCCGGTTTAGAATCCCGTAGAACCTCATGTGAAATTTGTTACGACAAAACGAGTTTGCATGTTTCACAGGATAGTCCAACTCCTGTAAAGTGTCCAGTCCTAAACCCTACTCCAATTCTAATTCCTTGCCAATTATGTCCGCTGAGTAGTAGGGACGCTTAGTAGGAGGCGCGTACGCGGAGATGCTACTTGGCGGTCCTCTAGACAACTGACTGCGACGAGACGTGACAGAAACGACATTGAAATATTAATTGAGGATTACTCCCACGCAGATATTAATGGAGGATTACATCGAAAGCGCTCAATTTATTCCTACTCCCCGAGGCTTGGAGACGCGTTGTGTCAACCAAAAACGCAACAATTTTTTAAAAAAATCCCGCCTCCTCTGGTTTATTTGGAACACTGCATGGCAATGTGATGCTATCAACATGGGACACTTATTTCCTATAAATTAAGTTCAATTTGGTACGATGAGTTTATTTCCTGGCGCGACAAGTATTTTGTTCTTTTGTCTCGTAAGTGTAGTGCATGTTTTATCCCAGGAAGTGGCGGTCTTCACCCCTGAAATGTGAGGGTTGCAAACTATACGTCGATTAATGGGTTTATTCCTTTAGGTATCTTCCCCAGAGGGACAACGCCCCAGCCGAGAGGAGCTCAAAGCTCCTTACTTGTTTAGTAGTACAGGACAGGTACGTGTAATAAAAGACAAGGGGGGTGAGGAAGGGAAGATCGCGCTCGGGCACTGCTGCAGAATTCGCCTAATATTGACCGAAGAAAACAACTCAAAACTGCTTATCCTGGTAGCTGTCTGATACAATCTCCTCTAGGCTGTGGCGAAATTTGACCTAGCTACTCGTAACGCTGGTATTGATAATCTTCCACGACAGAATTCGAACCAGTGGCGGCTTGTGTCAGTGTGCCATCAACAAAAAAAGAAAGAAAAGAAAACTTTCACCACAAATATGTGTATAAAAAATCGTTTCTTAATTTTTTCTTTATAGTAATTCATTTGAATGCGCGCTTAGTCCTCCGATGTCCTATCAATACTCTTCAAACACACAGGCGTGGTGTTATCGGTCGCCCCCCACCTGAACCTCCGAGCCACCAATGGATTGGCATCGTCTACGCCCATTTAAAGCTGTGTAAGTTTCATCTCTTAAGGCCCACTCACAATGCAAACGTAACAATAAGCATAGCGCATAGACATAGACATTAACATAAGCGATAGACTGAAGTATTCACAATGTAAGCAAAATAACAGTTTCTATTGGCAGTGAGTCATTCTATTTTACTATTGGTTGGATGTGAGAATCGATTTCAAGATATCGACTGTGTCTATGTCCCATATGGCGTTAGTTCTTCTATCGACTTCCCTCCAATTTCGATTTTGAGTTACCGTTCTGTGATTGGTTCATTTCTTACATCTTACGTAAGCATAAGCACAGAAGCTTGCAAGCTCTTAAGTGAGCGTCCTACGTGTTATGCTTATGCCAACGCATTAGGAATGAGTCCGTTTATGGACGTAGTCCTAACATTTATGTTAACGCCACGCTTATGTTTGAATTGTGAATGGGCCTTATCTGTCGCTCACGGTGATCCCGATGCCCTCGTATTTCGCACGTGGAGAGGCGGCATACGCCGAGGCTGCAAGGCTCTGCTTCCCGGACCTTTCTTCAGCGAACTCAGGACGCTGTGACCTCTTGATATTACTGTGGGCGCTCAGTCTTCCAGGCTGAGTATTTTTAATTGTTCTTAGTTTTTGTTTTCGGTTTAATCTTCATATAACTTAATAAACATGATTACTGTAAAAGTCAATTTAGTTACTCACGAATTTAATTTAGAGATTACTAAACCAGTTTTAAAACATCGATGGTTTTTGATGTATGTTTGCACATGTTTGTTTACCCTAGAATATTAAAGCACTATCTATCTTCAACGCACGCGCATTTCAAGTTTCGCATCACTTTGGTGCATCTGCGCAAGCGCACAAGATCGATGGTGCAGTCTGCTAACACTAACGTGCACTTACTTCCTATAATTTTGGACATCGATGTTACGTTATCGACGTCACGACACTAACTGGCACCAACAATAAAATTTGGTACCGACCGTAGAGTTCTGCAGAGGCAACGTAAATTATGTTGGTTTTAACGGGAGAGCATGAACTACCTTACCTCCATCACACGATCCGTCACTGACTATGCAGTATATGTTTACGTGCTACTTGTAAACAACAAGTGTTTTATATTTCATATTAATCAATTATACTTCTGTAATAGATTATCTCATTTTGAGATCGAAAATGCTCATGTGAGGTCTATTTTGAACACTACCATACATTTTTATTGTACATATTTTCTATTTTTCTTACAAATTTTTGGAACACTTCTATTCGTACATATTTTTCGACTTCTTTATTACAATAAATTTCGTTCCCTGATGAATACTTTCTGGAAGTGGAGCCTACTTATCTGACCTACTGCGCCGTCTACGCAGTAAAATCTTTTTTTTTTCTTTGTCCCCTCCACAGTAACCCTGTGGAGAAGGGGAATTTATTTTCCTTAAATTATGTACATTATACTGCTGCCATGCGGCTTACGCAGCTAGAGGAGGGGCTTTTTCTTACACCCAAGTTTTACATTCTAGTCCTAAAGTTACTTGCACTTTGGCATTACTAACTTACACTAAGATCAGTTTTGTTAATACTCCAGAAATTGTTATTTTGCGGGCGAGATATTTTTTCTTTTTCTCTACATTCACACATAATTCATACTAGTTTCAATACATACATAACCATTCATTCTCGAAGTGAAATCCTTTGGGCGTGAGATGCAGTGTTGTTCACGACCCCTCCAGCTCTGACTACTTTTGATAAACGGTCGTAAATTAACTTGGGCGATGCGAGTCTCTCATCCAGGGATACTTAATATCCTTTCTCATCTTTTTCCAGACTTCCATCGAATCCTTTCATTTGACTTTTCCAATGAAATGCGTTGTTCGTCACAGAAAGAAAAGTAAATTAACTAATTTCTTCCCAACCATAGCCAATATGTTTATACATAGTTATGTTGGGTCCCGAAACGTTTTATAAATATCAGTTCCCTGCTTGAGACCTTAGTGGTTGCTTTTTACTTCCCTTCCCTGAATTGCAGGCTTTGAAGTCCCGGTTTATTTCAGTCCTGTTTACCTACAAACGTGATAAGACTATTGTTGTAGACATTAAAAAATGAATAGTACAGATTTAGAAGTTCATTATACATTTAGAAATTTTAAAACACGTTCACTCTACATTCTAAAAATTACTTTTTATGGACCAACATTTTACACTAACAGACTAGTGAAGCTACAAAAGCACATACTTTCATGCATTACCTGTAACTGCTTCGCTATCCTACAATACTTCATGAATCAGAAAGTGTTCCTAACCAACAATTTCTTTTTTTCTGCGAAAACATTTGAACTCTGGATTTCAGAGTTAGCATGCTATTCATATTACCAGTCTGCCAACTTCACAGCTAAATCCAACCTTCCCGATGGTTAAACAAAAAGTTGACCATTAGGATTTGCAATTTTAAAACATTCAAAGATTTTAATTTACAATGTTTCAAGAACTAGTTTCAAAGAACAGATTTCTATAATGAAAAATTCTCTATCATTAGTCTTTCAATGTTAATTATTTTGTTTGCAATTTTCAAAATTTCATGCAGTTCAATGAAATGAGATCTGCACCACTTCCCCCTTCTTTGCTCTAATTGAAGGGGGGGGGGGGGAATAGAGCTGTTTTTGACAGCTTGGGATCATAAATTGAATTAGTATACATGAAAACAAGTTTTTCAAAAAAAATATTCATGACTTCATTAATGATTTAATATTTTAGAACAGATTTTCTTCATGGAAAATACCTGTATTTTATTCTTTTGCATTATTATTTTTGAAAACGGCCATAAATGGGACCGGCACAAATTTTAGTCTTTGATATATCTGAAGAGAAGATGTAAAGCATAAAATTTGGTGTCGTTTTTGGGGAATATAACTGTTTAAAAACTGCCTGTATTTCACACAAAATTATGTGTTAAATAACCATTTATATGAAACATTTTACATGGTCTTATTTAAAGATGTCATTGATGAAAATATTTTGTTAAGGAAACAAATCACTTTTCGATATTGTGGTTGTGAAAAAACATTTTGAACTTTTACAATTTTCCAAAAGTCAAGAGATTTCAACAAAAATTAGATCTGCACCAATTTTTTAAGCTACCTAGAACCTTTAGAGCTATCTGAAGACAAAGTTTATCAAAAATATTGGAAGCCATTTTTGAGAAAATTTTGACAATGTGTTTGAGGTTTCATGTAAAGTAGGTCCAAAAATCAAAATATTAGTTTCAACTCTCAAGAGCTCAGAATTTAAGTACTAGCATGGGGCAGGGCCGGACGGACAGGCGGGTGAAGATACTGACATTATAGTGTCAATTTTTGGGTATTGAGTCCAAAAAACATGGATTCTTACTACACAATGTGTTGGAGCAAGTAATTTACTACATACAGTAACAAGATTTATCCACGTTTTTGATATTAGGACCCTATAATATTATTTTTATGCCAAAAAATCACAGAATTATGCTGCATTACAATACTTTCTCTTTACCACGTAAGTACTACAAAGTATATAAGTACATTACTACATAGAAAGGCAACAAAGGAAAGATTTCTGACCTCTTGAAATCTGAATCACTTTTCGTCATGGTGTCTGGAACAAAATCTTAATAGCAATTTGCAGTTTTTATTACACAGGAGAGACTATTTTCTCATCACTTCTTACCAAAAACTTTTTCCATTTGTATTCAGAATTTAACTTCCTGGCTTGGGGTAGGGATCCCAGAATAAAAAACATGTACAGAGTACACATCATTCAATTCAAATCTCTCCATAGTATGTCACACACAGTTTTTAACTGCTTTTAATGGTAAATAAACAATGAAATCAAATTTATTAACTACATGAAAGAGCAAGAAGTGTAGAGCACAAGAAATCATTAATAAGATTCTTCATATTATTGCCTGCAAATGTCAATTTTCGTCAGAACTGAGTTACTGCTTTCTGATCAGTCCATTTTATACATTATGAAATTAACAACTGACAAAAAAAATGATATTGAAAGCAATGTGGATAATTACAGAAGATATTGTTAACATGTTTTACAGGATGCAATAATTTTCTTTCCAATGAAAACCATTTAAAATAAGGACTTTATTATTATTATCATTATTATTATTGGTTGCTCTCATGTGCATTATAAACATCTTTGAACTTGGAACACAGGAACTGTAAATACGTATCCTGTGAAATTGCTCGTGCTGCCTTCTGAATTACAATGTGTAACAACAAAAGCCAAATACAGACAACGAACATTGAAATACGATTGTGCACATTCAATATATCATAACTAGACCTCGGATGTTTACGCAAATTTATATTTTACTCTTTGCACTTAAATTTTCAAAATGAATTATGAACACTTTTCATGGTTTTACAGTATCAAGGAACTAAAGCTGTAGAGTAAAAAAATATCAACTTCACTTAGGTATCTTTTCACCAATAGGGATGAATATAATCATTCATTCTCAAAATTTCTAAAACTTCCTGTAATTAAAAACTTGGAGGACAAACTCAAATGTGTTTCTGAATATAAAATTCACAAATTGGAATCTATAATAAATAAAAACTCCTGAATTACCAGCCTGCATTGCAATAAAAGGAAAAGACAAAGCCGAATCAATTATTCTAAAATCAACACAAGTATAAATCTGAAGTGTAGAAATAGAAAGAACATTTTCTGCCCTTAAAATGAATCTGAGTGAAAAAAATTTTGGCTGTTTTGACATTTCCATGTTCATTTTAATAATTCATGGAGACTTTAATAGAACAGTTAGAAGTAAAATTAAAAATTATAAATTATGGATTTGTACTGCCCATTTCAGAAATTATGCAGCCTCTTTTCAACCTTTAAGAGTTAGTAAAATTTTAAAGCTTAAATATCCGAGTTCTATTCTTAATATAAAAATGTAATTTACATTCACCCTTCTTTCAATCTTTAATGAGTTAAAGGAACTCAATATTTATTGGTAAATACATACAAAATAACAAATTTGTAAATAAAATCTTAACTCTTTAGTGTGTGCTCCCACACGCAAGGTAACCGAAAACCAGAGGAACTGGACTGCCATTAAACAAGCTAGTGTTACAATACTAGTCATTTATGACTTTTTTCAGGAACAATAATATATTTCAAAGTCTGTAATAAAAAATGGCGGTTTTCTCATTTCATTTGACAATTCATCACAATTACATCTATTGCAAGCTGAAATTTCATACAACTCTTCAAAAAGCACACAGTTCTCTACCTGTTGACAAATACATTATTCCAGTCAAAAATTTTTATATATTCTACAAATACAATTCTTTTGAATAAACACAGAGCAATGAGACTACACACCTAACACAATCTGTCTATAATGTTTTACAGTCACAAGCACAGCCAAAAATATAATACAATGCTGTGTAAAAAAATACGCAATGGCATGTCTACAAATAAAGACATACTAACAAGTTTCAGTCTAAAATCATAGATGAACTGAAGCTATGAAAAGAAACTCAAATCAACTTGCAACAATTTTAAGTTTGAGTTTGCACAATATTCACTAGTATAACTATAACCAGAAATTTTGTCAAACAATAACACAAGGGAAATGAAAACCACCTAATACAAATGTTAATTCAACGAAGATGTGCCGGAAGTACAAAAATAGAGAGACCTCGCAAATTTTTGGAAATAACGAACTGTAAGTGTAGCATGAGTAGTAAAATAACATTGTAACTAAAAATTAACTTCAACTTGGCCTTGGTAAAATATATCACTCAGTGAAGTTTCAAAAATATAATCATCCTTATTGTGTACACATACACAAAACATCAAATATAGTCATTCACTGAAGTTCAAATTAATAATCATAATAATCGTCTCATTAATGAACATATAAATATTTAGTGACTCAGGTAATCACAAACACTTAATACTATGTATAGAAATTACTGAATATGTCATACTGGCAAATTTAATCTTTGGTATTTAATCACAGTTGACTTCTTATCACACATCATCTGCAGTATTTGACAGTAATGGTTCATGGTTATGTTGCTCTTTTGGCTGGTTCACAACAGGGTTCTGGGAGTACAAATACACAGCATATGATACAATGGATATTGCTAACACTGTGTTTAGATAAATTGGAATACCAAATATGATGTAACAAAATATAGCAGTGAACATGAGTTCCAAAGCACTTGCAAATGTCTTCAAAATAGAGTTAAGGTTTTTTAAGAAGAAGCTTGTGATAATACCAATAGCAGCATTATTCATCATAATAATAAGAACCTTAAATGTGAAGACCGAAGACAAAGCTTTCGCACTGAATGCTCCCAATAGATCCCCTTGTAGAAGCAACAATCCAGCGTTACAAACTATCGAGTCCACATACATAAACACATTTTGTACAAAAATGTTCACTTCAGCACCAACACCTTTCAGTAAGTACTCATTATATACACCGGCAAAACAGGAACATACAGTCTGCAAAACACAAATGTATTAAAATGTATGCCAATGGTCAAAATGAAATTGTTCTTGCAGTTTCTGAAGACTGTAAAAATTGATTTTTAGGCACCACAGATTTTTGAAATTAATGAAAATTACAATGGCCTTTTAAGCAGTCTAATTTTTACAATCTTCAGGTTATGATCAATATTAAAGTACATTTGCATATACGAAAGAATACACAGAGTAGAATAGAAACCAAAATAAATAAGCAGAATACCTGCACGAAGATAAGCATAATATTAATATTCAGGCCGAAGTGGAAGTAACTGTTAGAATCTGAAGATGTGCCATTTTTTGCTGTGGAATGATTAGAGAAATCAGCCAGATCTAGTTGCTTTATCATACAGCCCACTGTCAGCAGAATCAATGACAACCATTGTTTTCCACTCAGTTGTTTACGAAACACAATCTGTAGAAACAATTATGCATTTTTTTGTGATCATAAGCAAAATGTTAAAGCTTTATCTCAAAGGCATTAGAAAAGCAGAGGCAGATGGCACCTCAATACAATCAATTCATACATGGGATTTTTCCTTACCTGAAACACAATCCCAGTAACCACAACACGAAACTGCAGAAGAAGGTAGTATGTAGTAGGATCAAAGGCAGATAGATTTACAAATGCGAGATTGTTATAAAAACAATACATAAAAGCAGGAACAAAATACAGCATCAAAACTGTTGAAAAAGAATTAACCCCAAATTAATACTCTACACTTTTTACTAAATAAATATGGCATAAAAACGAGTGGTACCATTATTCACCTTTGGCATTACTTTTTAACTCTTGCACAAGTGAAAAGATGGCATGGCTAGAAAGAAAAAAAAAGTTATCATTTCAATATATATAGCTTACTACAGAATTTCAAATTAATATTAATATGTGTGGAAGGCACAAGTTTTGAAGTAGTTTACAGGTCTATTTTCTGTAGCCTAGTAGCATGTCACTCAATGTATATTTCCAAAGTGATAGAAGAAATTTGGAAGGTGGAGCAATATCGTTGATGGCAACTTTATTGTCATCCTCAAAGGAAAGGTTCTCATAAGTTAGTTAAAAGAGACATCAATGAAATTTACAATAACTATTTTGCAAATATCTATATATATCTATATATATATATATATATATCTATATACAAACTTGTTGAAATCTGATAACAGTCATTTTGCATTAAATATCTATTTAGAAAAGAAAAGAGTTCCACATAATGAGCAACAGTTTTGTTTGGTCATATCTAGTTTTGAAAGATTTTCTGAGCGGAACTCTCTTACTTCAATTTTGTAACATGAGAAAAAAATTTGAATACATAATAATTGACATACATTCAATAATTTTTAATGACTATTTAATTATGACAGCCTCCTCTGATTATGACACAGTAAATAAATAACCCAGACAGGGGAGGATGAAACCAAGGCAATTACAATATAGTAGAACCCCAATTAAAAAGTAATGAGGCAGATTTAGATATACAGAAATCTGGATGTTTGCATAAAGCTAAGAAATTTAATAAAACTGAGACACGTCAAATCGAACTTAACATAAATAAGGCATAGAAAACTATTTCTGCAATTAAAATTTTTGCATTCTTTCAAATTAATTTGCAAAAACAAAATAAGAATCCTTTTTCATCATCAGTCACAAGTGGTTTAAGAAGCATTATACATATATTATCACAAAAATGATTTTAATGTATAATTAACATAATTTATAAAATTTTCCAGATGAATGTATATCAAAAGAATATTGACACAGGTTTAAACATGGAGATATTATAAAAACATATTTTCCCAACATTGACATTTGAATAATTTTTTCTTCTTTCTGCAGAAAGTAAAAAGAATCTGCAAATCTGATCAATTAATATTAGCAAGGGACTTCAATGTTAACAAGCATTAAGTTATAAACTTGGAGACACAAGAGATCCATGGTGACTGAGAGAAAGGTAGGTGGAGAAGACAGAACAGGTATAAGCCTAATCCCTGAAGGTGGAAGAGTAAAATATTTTTCCCCCCTTTCTTCCAAAATAAATTCAAAATAGGGCTTTGGATGCCAGGGGTACTCGTGTACTGCCTGATCAGCACTAGCAGGGATGGAATGACAGGTCCCTTACTGCTTACTTCTCTAGTAATTCAAACATTTTGTAAAACTCACAAATTCCTCTGGATCTCCGGAGTCCTTGACACTACAAGAGAATTTCCTCCCTCTAAGCTAATTTAACAAATTGCATCCTGACCTTGACAGATGTTTATACATAATATAATTCTAATAACAAAGATAACCAATTCATGGAAAATAACTGTTTTTAATAGTGGTAAAACATATAGGACAAAACCATTTTTTGCAAGTTCTTTCAAGAACACCTTTGTCAAGTGAATAGTTTCATTTTTAGTAATTCAGGTATCTTTGTTTTCCTATTCTTGGCTGGGATGCCATTTTTTCCAAGATTTGTGCCATCAAATTGTAGAGATATTATTAAATGTGACTAATGCATAAAAAGCGATGGGGCAAAAGAGTGGATTAGCAACTTTTACTATGAATAAAATTGGCTATGAAGCATTACTAGGCTGGATAGAAAGGAAAGCATGTTTAGACCATGCTTGTATGGACTAAAAATTATATATGTAAAACCACTGAGGATCAGATAAATCTTTCTTACCGTAAGAAGCTATAATTTACAAAAACACTATCTTTGTCAGGTTTGTAACAACATGGTCTCCATAAAAATGTGTTCCTATTTTAACAACTTAACTCTAAAATATTTAAGAATTAAGTATTATTTTTCAGTTTAGCAACACAATTCACAACACAACCTATGTCAAACTATTTGGAGAGGGTTTCTTAATTACAGCTTGGCTAAATTGAATTACAAAAAGGATTGCAAGTTTTCTGAAACACTCATTGAAGAAATGATAATTTAGAACTCTCGTAATGCATCTAGATCACGAGTTCCTAAACGTTTTGTAACGTGACACGCTCAAAATGCACAAACTATCAAATAAAATTTATTCGTCTTCTTTTCAAGTTAATTTTATATTTATTTTCACTCATTCCACACAAATCCCATGTATCTTTGTTAAAATTATACTTGCAAGTAGAAAATACAAAAGAATTATATGCTTACTTTGGTAAGAGCAGGTTTTAACACACAAGTTTTCTCTTAAGCATTTATTAAATTTCATGACTGATAATACAGACTAACTAAAAGTACAGGTTTCATAAATTGTGTACATAATGACATTAAAGTATGAGAAAGATTTATATTAATAAAAGAAAGAAAAAAAAACTTCAAAATGCATAAATAACTGAAACTGAAATAATTTCATCACTACAATATTAGACACCCCAAGGAATACAAGGTATTGCAAACGTAATAAAAGCACAGTTTGTGCCTTCATGCCAGAAATGGGATACAGGATAAAATCATACCATTTATAGGTGGAATGCTATTTTATGCTAATTTGGACTATCAGAGCTTCTGAACTAAATACTATGTAAATGAAAGCCAGATGAAACAATTTTTCATACCTCAAAATATATACACAGACCACAAAAACAAATATTCTGTATACATTTAAATGATTTCTTTACAAGATGAAATTTGGAAGAAAATTTTGAAATGTTGAACGATTGGATTTCTTTAGTATACAAGTAAAAAACTCACCAAATTCAAAAACAGTGTTTTGAGATAAACAAAGTTACAGTTAATTCTATGCAATTAGTCCCAGTTTTCTTTTACTCGTAGATTAATATGTAATATTACTTTTAAGAATGCAAACAAGGTCCAAAGATGGATTTTTTCTCTTCCTTTTCACTGTTCTGCCATTTAGTAAAAAATTAAATAATCAATAATTTTAGAACACCAAAATTTCAGGATTTTAGCAATTTCCCAAATCAAAAGAATAAAAAAATCATGACATTAATTTTTTAATTTACATCAAAAACAGTTAAAAACTGTGCATGATGTGCTACAGGGAGAAGTGTAAATGCACCTAAAAATGTAAATAATAATAATAATAAATAATAAAAAAAGACCTTGGTGAATTTTACTTGTAAATTGATGATATAAAGTTTTCAAGGTTAAGTAAAGACATTTGAGAAAGGAAAAAAAACATGGTTAAAATAAATAAAAGCATGCATGAGGATACTGGAGGGAACTAGAATGTACCCATGTAAACCAATACAAAAAACTTTATGTAACATAAGTTATTTATAAGAGATTGAGGCAGTAAATGCTTAAAGAAAATCTTTGAGAGCTGGCTAAATTATGGGTTGGTAACATGTACAAAATAACAGAATGAAGTAAACAAACTTGTTACTCACCTCAAGGTTTAAATTAAATATGAATGGCCTATTGAAAACTAACATAATGACATGAAAACAAAAGTATGTTAACAGTTAATAATTAATGCCACTCACTCTTTTGCAAAAAAAATGATGGACACGAAGAGTTTTAACACTTCAGTCAGCAGCACCACAGTCACAGTATTATAATTGTATGTACTTTGAGAGCTTTGAGATGCAGTGACAAAAATACCTACACAAGGGCATATTCACATTACACAATGGTATTTTCTTTAGTATCAAGTTTCAATGATAGACAAGACAAAAATTAGACATTTTCAATAATTGACATATATTCACAGAAGAAATTCTTGGGCATGCAATTGAAGATTAATAGAATAGCATTGAAAGTCATCTTACCTTGGTTTATAAATAAAACCATGTACGATACAAACACAACTGCACTGAATTTGGTAGGGAATAATTCCTTCCAGTTAACACTTCCCGGCATGTTGTTGTTACGTTGATCGACTGTTACAAAGATTGGGTTCAGCTGACACTTGTTTATGTTCGATCTTCGAGCAATTCCTAGCAATCGACTTCAGAGCAAAACAAACGTAAACATGTTGCAAATTAAATTTATACAATAACATTCTTAATGTTGACATGTTCGATTTGAAGTAACGTGTTTACGGCCATGGCACACATTGACAGATTACTCAGAACGTGCCAAACTCCCTATCCACATCATCACCTGCCGGTAATTCGCATGTCTTAAGAAACGTTGGTCCTAACCACCACTTCTGCACCACACTCATCAATCAACTCCTACTCATTCCCCTTTTACGTGTCCCATATTCGGCTTCAGTGTGGCCCCCACCACCCCACAGTCATCTGCTTCTCTGAAATGAAGAGGAAGGGAGATGAATTCTCACTTCATATCAGCATTACCAATAGCTCAAATTCAATCAACTTACAATTTGCCCTGCTATATTTAAAATACTTATCGTTAGTTGCTCCATAACAACGTGACTCAATGAGACGAGTTTTATAACTAATTTTATTATTTTAACATTCTGATGTTGACTAGTAATGTGAGTTATATTTTACAGTAAAAGTTGGCTTTCAAGGCCAATTTCCGCGGGAAATACAAGTTTAGGAAATACATGGAACATAAAAGGAGGGCAATGAAATATATGAATCAGTCTATGGATTCTACTTCAATACTTTTAGTAATGAAATAATGCATGAAACAGTTAGTACTCGTAGGATAAGTAATGTCATGTTCATAAGTAAAACATGTTCAACCATGCAATTCTGGAGGCGCTTAAAAAGATAATCCGTAACTGCACCGATGCCACTATGATCACTAATACGATTCCAAAAGATAACTTCAAAATACATGACGAAACGCAATGTAAAACGATGGCTTGAATTAAGGAACTACTTCATATGATTAAACTTCAAGGCTTATCAGTAATTTTCCTTCTTTTACCCAATCAACTGTATCCAATTATTATGATTGAAATACATAATAATGAAACTAATACAAGATAGTAATTGATTTTCAAAGAAACAATGTAAGACTTAACCCTGGATATTCCAAGCAAGATGTCATCAGATTCATACATAGGAAGATAATCCAGTAATGGGAACTGATATGGCGATGTCATAAAACTAGTAATACCCACAAATCAATCGATTTATTCCTATCAATGAACGCGGACCCCAAGATGACTAGACGCGAACAAGTTGCAATTTAAAGAATTAGAACTGGCCATTCTAAAATTACACACAGATACTTGCTGGAGAAACCTCACCACCAGTAGACCATTTGACAGATAGTCAAATAAGACTATCAGAAGACCATATTATTATGCCTCGTCGCAGAACACGTTAGATCTATGTATTTTAATCCAAATGAAATAGAGAAAATTCTATACTTTGTTCTCTTTGAGAACCAGATTGCCAAATTTTGCAACAAAAAACAAGAAAGAAAAAAAACAACCAACGTATGTCATGCTTGAAATATAATATTATGGTAAGTCTCTCGAGCTGTTGTGTTATGATCCTACCCGATGATATTGTATGATTATGTTACGAGTACGTAAGATAAAAAAGTTATAATCTATATGTCGGGATGATTATTTTAATGTAATTATATGTAACCCTCATAAAGATATGTTATGACCTTGTCCTGATAATAATGTATGATGATGGTTTGTGAGATAAATAGTATGTGATGCTGTGTTCGTATTATGTTATGACCTATGCATTACAATACTTATGTTAATGTAATGACGGATGAAAACATAATTATCTGTAAACACTTGTTATAAAAATTGTAGTTGCTAATACCCTTAGTCGTTGATGCGACTAACAATAAAGGAAAAAGAGTAATATCCTACATGAACTTTTACAATCATCAAATTGTAAATAAGATATAGATATCTACAATGTGTCCACACTTAACCATATGACTTGTGATGACCGCAAACAAAGATGCCACCACATGTTTTAAACTTCGGAACTCTAGATTAGGAGCTGCAGAATATTTGCAATTGCTCATGAATAAGGATTCCACGCAAACTGGGGGAAACACATACAAACTCGCAAGAGACAGTTACATGCCGCCCATTACTCCTTACAGTGCATACATGTTTTAGTGTTTGGAAATTAGAAGCTTTCTCGTCGCCGGTTGCAGGTCGAAATGTTTCTCTTTTGTTTGGCTGATCACGGGTCCTGGCAGTCTGGCCTTTCCTTCCGCGAGGTCGTGAGTTGGGTCGGGAATCTGCCCCTACGAAAGTGCAGATAATAGTACCGATAAGAGCGGAAGTCGTGCAGTGGCGTGGAACAGCAGCAATTGGCGTGAATAACACCGCCGAAGTAATATACCATTTAATACCAGAACTTTATTCTCCAGTTTTGTTCCGTATTGCTAGATTTATTCATTCATGAAATAAGATGACAAAAACATGAGGATTTCTTTTGGAAATTGACGTTTATCTTTAAGAAACGAGGTGACAGTTCAGCGCTAACAGCGGTGGCGAGAGGTTGTGACCGCAGCGCTACCTTGTTTAGTTCAGTCGGCGTCAAGCTGAGCACTCAGTGAGTTGCCGAGTGCTCGTGAAGTGACCAGTGTTCGATCGAAAGTTATTCCATATCTTTTAACGAAAAGTTGAAAATAGATAAAAAGTGATTACCGTGCTCTGACCTCGGACAGAGCATCAAAAGAAGCGGATGCAGGCCGTGACAAACACTGAGCCGACGCGCATGCAACATTCGTTGGAGTACCAACAACAGCTCAATCATAGATCAGCAACATCAGCAATAACAGGCGCAGCAGCCATCAACTGCAGGAACAGCAAACCAACAACTGCTATACAATTGCAAACAGCAAAAATAAAGACTTCAAAACGCAAGTACAGAAACAGCCAACGCTCAGTTGGCCGCCCTTGCAACCACAGTGCACTGCCCAGTAGAAACAAAAGTGAGCGCACAAAAGAACAAAAAACTGGATCTTGTTTTTCCGATATGCTATTCCCATCAGCAAACAGGTTTTTCGAAACATTAAATAAGCGATACAGATGAGGACGAACATATCAGTTTCGCGGAAACAAGTGTATCAAAATTCCTCCAATAATTATGACAACAACAAGCGGAAAATTTCAACTGTTAATAAATGACATTAAAAAATGTAGTTAAAAGAAGATTTTACAACAAAAATAGAAAGCAGAACAGAAGGTGAAAGTAAAACTTAATTCAATAGAAGAATTTCAGAGTTCTTCGTAATTTTGCAACGAAAACAACATAGACTACCAACACGTTTCGTGACGCCAAGCATAAAACATTTCAATCATTATTAAAGATATTCACGACACTATATGAGTGAACATAGAAATCTTCAGAACTAGTTAAAAAATACCCAGGTAATCAAAGTAACTCGCTTCACGCCAACCAGACAGAAAACCATTTACAACATGTGCTTGTAGATTTAGAGGACAATAAAACAAGGGAAGGAGCATGTCTAGCATTAGATAGATTTTTATATAGTGTTATTAGGGTATTTCCTAGATTCCAACCCCAAAATTACCAATTCAAGTGTAAAAACTGCCAAAGATTTGATCATCACTTCAAAGCTAACTGTGGGCGCGCTCCGAGATGCGTTAGGTGTTTAGGTAACCACGCATATTCAAAATGCCACGGAACCTAAAACAGAAACAAGTCCTAAATGCGTTAATTGTAAAAAGAGCACACAGCCAATTGAAAAGGGTGTGAAGTTTATCAGAAACTGCTAAAAATCAAACAGGGAGCGGTTATAATCAGAAGACGGCCAGGTCTTTTTAATTAACAGAGAATCCCACGAGAGAAAAACCTTGACCGAAAACCATCCACCCCTCAAAATTCATACCCAACAAACAACCCCAACTGCACGAATCCTCATAAATCCCTGGTTATTCAATCCTCAAAGACTTAACACGCAGCCCCCCGTTATCGACACCCAAATTCCCTCTACAACCAAGGTGAGGTAATAACTACAATCATCAAATACAGTAATAAATACACTCATTCCACCAAATACAACTATTAATACACCTCAGCCCTCGATAATGGACGTAAAATAAAATATACAGAAACAAACATTCTCAACTTGAACGGCCGAACGGAATAAAAGGCAGAAAATCAATTACGACACTTAATAGCAAAGCCACAACATAAAAAATAGCTTGTATTCCAGAACTCACCTGTTACCTCAAATCAAGTTCCTTCATACCAGGTTTTAATATCCTATCGCAACGACCGGTCTTCAGAGACGGCCGCAGGAGGAGTGGCCATACTAGTGCACAAAGATATAAAACATACGTTAATTAATAGTCTACGGAGCAACGACCCTAGAAAACCAATAGCAATAAAACGCAAAAAATAAATAAGCAAAGATACACAGACCATTATATCGGCATATAAACTCCAAATAAGCTAATTCCCTAGAAAAATATATACTGAAGCATTTTTGGAAATAACGATAATATCGATGCTAATAGGTGACCTACATAGCCAAACACTGCGGTTGGGGAGCCAACATCAACACTCCTCAAGGGCAAAATTTACTAAGATCTATTGCTACCACTCTGCAATTTAAGTATTATGGGCCCCAATAGAACCACCCAATTACCCTTACAACAATAATATAATATCTGACATATTAGATATCCTCATCACAAAAAATATTGATTTTCCGCTATTGCGCAAAAAGTGATTCCTGACTCGGACTCGGATCAAATGCCAATAATCATATCATGTTCATCCTCTCTATCTAATCATCTTATTATAAAACAGCAAAAGGGTTAAAAATAAAACTGGTTTAAATTCAGAGGAAATTTTAAAAATTAAACTACGACACCGCAAAAACATTCATCGCGAAAAAGACTTAGATAATGAAGTAAAACGAATTAGTCCAGCATGACATACAAAGGATACCTCGACAAATTCTACCAACATATCTCAAAATAGACAAACCCAAATAATACAAGCAACACAAATCCCAAAAAAAATCATAAAAACCTAATTAAAATAACACAATTTAAAGAACGCTATTGGCAATGACACGAACGACAGACTTAAAAAGAAAATTAAACAAACTGACGAGACTAAGTTAAAAACTAAAACTAAGACAACCTAGATATGCAAGCTTTCAGACTTTTTAAAAGAATTCCAACCCGTCATCTAGAGCATATGTGGTCTACCATCAAATAGATAAAAAAGACAAAAACAAGAATATTCCACAACTAAAACTAGGTTCATCAAGTGGGCAAATTCTGATCTTTTGAGAAACATCTCTTATAGCTGACTACCGCTTGAAAAGTCCCGTCAAGCCCAAACCCAGTCGAAAACGAATCACTTTAATGAAACAAGTAAGAGGAATTTAATCAGAAACCACTATATACAGCTCCAAGTCAATAAAAGTACAATGATCCCCATCCAGAAATTAAACAAGAAATCAAAAA